TTGTTCATACTGACAAAGGTGAAATTAATAGTTCCCCCCATCCATCCTCTACTAGAGTGGTTGAGGTTTTCAAAACTGGATGGCTGCCTGTGACATATGAACAAAATGGTAGGAGAGTCGACAGTTTTTTTTCTAATTAAAAACATATTTTTTATGACAGTCAACATAGTATCTTCAAAGAAGTAGAATAATGTAAAACTATAAAATCACAAGTCAACTTAATAAAATTCAAGAATGAAGTTGGTATAGTGTTGGACTTTGAGAATTGTGGAAAAACACTGCTATCTTGTGACTTCCTGTTATGCCCGTGTGATTCCACACCATCGATCTACACATAATAACACACACCCCCATGTGTATGTGTACCTTATTTGTATATATCTATGGTGCAAAATTACACGGTATTTTTCACCAGCCAATATGAGCCAGCACTTTCCTGTCATCAACAACCAGTTCTCAATGTAGCGAGCAAGATTCTTCGGCAGATTTCACTTGCATATCCACACAAGATTTCAATATCTATAGTTTCCTTTAAAGAATAGCTTTACCAAATAGGCAAATACCGATTACTTCTACAGTCAACATAATGCAAAATTAGCTAATCCGATCATTCATCTCACCCCCAACGAATAAGACAAACATGCTAAGCTGCAAATCTTCATCCCAAAATCCGTAATGGCATATGACAATATACATTTTCCTGCTTCTAAAGTTTAGCAGCTAATTATCGATTTTGCCAAGAACTACTTGATACGAATCTCCACCGGTTAAAGAGCACATAATCTTTGCCTAACCATAAACATAATACTGAAACGACAAGCAAGCCACCATAAGTAACTATCATATTCCAAGTTCATCCTACTCCTACATTTCCTAACTAGGTAAAATTCTTGGACGAACAGGGTTCAGAAAGAGCCGATTCATCGACCATTCGGAGCAGAATAATCCAGTAACTAGGGTTCTCTACTCATTTCACAAAGCATTTAGCTAAGGGAGAGAAAATTCAATGATGCAGCAAACGAAAATCCAAGAAATAATTACCAAATACCAAATAAGGAAATGTGATAAGATCTAATTAAACTAATATATTTAGCATCAAGATGTTCTGACATGATAAAAATAGTAATACTCAGTAGATCCCAAACACGATTAAAAAACTTCCGAAAGAGATTCCACTAACAAAGATTACAAAATTAAAAGAGGGGAAATTGGCAATAGTATTTTAGGGTTACTCATTCTTCATCGGCAACGGACTCGGTTTTCTCGCTGTGCGGCGGTGCGGTGGACCCAGCATCCTCCTCCTCGGGCTTAATCGGCTCATCATTCACCGCCGGTGTCGCCGGAGCAGCCGCCGTCTCTCCAGATCTAGCCTTCACCGTATCCAGCATCCGCTTGCTGATCTCCTTGGAATACACCTGCAGGATCTCGATCCCCTCTTCGTCGGTGGTCGCCGCCTTCCCGGCCTCTAGGAACGCCTCCTCCTCGATGGCCTTGGCGGCATCGACGGCTTCCTCGCGGGAAACGGTGCCGTATCGCTTGGACAGAATGGAGGGGGACGATAGGGTTTCGACGAGGCGGTTCCTCACGGCGTCGCGCGTGCGCTCGGTCGGTGGCCAAATGCTGAAGGAGACGTTGGGGTATTTCTCGGCGGTGGTGGTGTTTGAGGTCTCGGATTGAGGGGCTGACTGCTCGATTTCGGCCATGGCGGTGGCTGAAGGGGGGAGATCTTGGGTTTGAGGAATTTGTTTTGCGGATTCAATGTTGTCTGACATTTTTAAGCGTTTTTTTTTTCTCTTCCTTTTTTTTACTATGGAGTAAAAAATGAAAAAGTAATTAAATAATAAAGAGTAATATTTAATGTGAAGTTAAAAACACAAAAAGTGAAACGGGTCAATGGGTGTGGGTGGGGGACTAGAAAAACGGTTGTGGGCTTGGCCCATATTTTAGGTGATTAAAACGACCCTCCACCTAAGAAAGATTGAGACCTTTGACGGTGGTATTTTATTAATTACTAGTAATTGCCCCGTGCGATGCACGGGATAAACTATTAGTCGTTATGCACGCGAAAATATATTATCATCCTTGGTGTATGGATCCATTATCTATAGAATACAAATAATGACTTTTATTTTTCCACTAAATAATATACAATAAATAAATTGAAATTGTAAGTTTTCCACTAAATAATATACAATGTAGTTTTAGCAGCAATTTTCTATTGTAAATTGGATATTTTCATTACATAAATATTATAACGACATCAGTTTTTATTGTCCTTGATATTAGACACGTTAAACACAATTTTCACTACAAACTACTGCTAAAAATTATAAGTAACATTGTATATTATATTGTATATGCTAAAAGCAATTTATGTAGATATTATTTTTCTCTACATATAGTCTTTTTTTATAGCAATGGTAACATGTAACCAAAACATTAAAGAAAAGGCAGACAACAATATTTGAAATTTTTGAAGGCGAAAACGTCGAAAAACATGATAATGCATTACAATTTAAAAAAAGCATATTGATTTCAATTAACTTTCCAAAAGTAAAACGAAGCAAATACCAGGTTAAAAAACTAATTAACAAACAATCGCCAAAATAGATAAACAGAATTTCAAGTTTTCCATTTATGATTATATTCATTCACATGCATATAAATGGCTTCCAAAAAATTATCCCTTTCATTATTTTGTACAATGTTTTTGTATAGTATAATCTAGGTGTTGTATACACATTATACTTCCGTTGCACAGTCAAAAAAGGTTAGCACTGAATTTGGAAAAATTATATTAGAAACAAATTTAATATACTTGTTACAAATTATATGAATACCTAGTTAAAAAATATTAAGTTAATTTTTATACCTACTCCTCTAGCAATATATTTGTATCTGCTGGACGCCTCTCTGAACGTGATAATCTCCTTCCCGTAGGGCTTTACCGACCATCAACTATCATTCAATCTGCAAAGGTCAACAAAAAGAAGAGAAAACATAATCATGTATAAATACTGCATTCTGAACCATAATTACACTTCAGTGACCATTTATGAAGCACTCAACAATGCCGAAACCTTCGGGTAAAAGAAACCATCGATGATTGATTTTATACAAAAAAATATATATAACATAATCACAAAAGGCTTTAGAATCAAAAACTCACCAATTCAAATCCAACACACTTCCTACAATTAAGCATTTGTAAATTGTAACAATTGTCTTCAATTTTTATATAAGTGATACCTAACTTATGGAGATATTCCAATGCCAGTACCAATTCCGCAGCGTAAAATCTAAAAAACAAAATTCCAATTTTTTTTAATTATTTCTAGATAGATTACCTAAAATATTATGTCAATGGACATTAAAAGTAAATTAGAAGGAAAAAGGATAAGGAAACTAAAAAGAATAGATTAATGAATAAAAATATATTAACTACATCTAAAAAAATATAAACACGAAGTAACCTTGTTTCAAGAGGTGGAGCTACAAATACCGCAGTTTGCAGCTTGAATTGGCGTTGCAGTAGATGAAGCAATCTTAGTTTCAAGTACTAAGGTTTGTAACATACCTGGAGACAAATAAAGTTTGAGCAAAAATTAAAACAAAGAGAATATATCAGAAAACCAATCACATAATTTGTATAAGGTCAAGGTTTTACATCCATCAATTCTAAATTTATAAGCAAGTCGAAGAAATGAGTTGTATATCAATAGGTATATTACTACCTTTTCCGACAACATTTAGTTAACTTCGGAAAAATATCCCCGACATTCTAGACTTGATGAACATAAACACAACAATAAATAACCCAACTTTATTTCCACAGAAATCCCAAAGAAAAGTGTTTTCCTAGAAAGATCAAAGGTGAGAAGAGTTAACATAAATTAACTAAAATTGGTACGAACCTTTATTCATTCTCAGCATAGGTGAGTGGTCACTATCCTCTTTCTTCAAGAAATTTACGCAAAAATTCCTAAAAATCAAAGACATAAGAAATAAAGAGAAACATAATCCGCACAGAATTACCTGGTAGGTAGTGCAAGAATGGGATTGTTGAGAGAGCTGCAAACGGCGTCCACCCAAGACCAGTACCCGGTGTCGAAAAGTGCGCATGACGGGTCCAAGAATTCCATTCTATGCAACTATTACTTAACTCAGAGAATTCTGATCGTATTGCTTGTTGAATAATCGCCCAAAACAGATGATTGCAGAAGAATCGCAGCGCCTGATGAAATATAAAAGAGGGGGGAGAAGATAGTTCGTGAAGTTATGAGAAAAACTTATTTGAACGTGTGTGCAAAGATGTAGGGCTGTACCTTACAGGAAAGAAAATTTGTAAGAAGAAACTGACAAAAAAATTGTGTGCACGATCGAGCTTTCAACACAACATGGGAAGTTTTGCAAATGCGGTTTTCTTCATTAATTTATTGTGTAGAACGTGCAGGAAAAATAGCCGGACAAAAAAAAAAAGAAACTTCTCAAGATAAATGTCTCAAGATAAATGGACAAAGATACCCCTAGGGTTACAAATATTTCACAAAAATGGGATTAGGGTTTCGGGGCAAAACCTTTCTTTTATATATAAAGATTATTCATTTATTACTCCTAATTAAATTTGTATTAATATTATTATTATTAGTTTTTAAATAATTCCAACATTTACGTACCAATAAATAATTTTGTATTATTCATATTATTATGAGTTATTATTTATATTGTGTTATTAAATATTTTATGCAAATGATGAAAATCAAATAAATTTCGAAATTCCATCAATATTACAAACTTCGACAGTAAATTTATGAGTATTAGTAGCGAAGTTTGACGTATTAACTGAAAATTGATAGTGTGGTGAGCTTTTGAATATTGAGTAATTAAAATAAATGGTCGTGAACTTCTTCAAGTCGATTAAAAAGTGACATCGAACTTGTGAAATTGACTGAAAATTTAAAGTGAACTTTAAAATTTGGCGATGAAAATTTGAAAATTCGACAAATGGCCCTTTATGTTCAATGAACATCTCTCTTCGTGCTCAAATAATGCGTTGCAACATTTTATAAACACGTTTATATTGTTTTCATAGATTTTTAGCTATTAAAAATATGGGGTATTTTTGTAAATAAAAGTGCGAAAAACTCTTACTGAAAAAAAGGAAGTTGAATGTAATAAGTTGAAACATGAAGGATGTAAGTGTAAATATCAAGGTTTCAAAACAAAATCAAATAGTGAACTTTAAAATATCGATGAAAATTAGAAAATCGACAACGCACCGTTGGTGGTTAAATAATGCGCCGAAACATCACCCTTCATGTTCGAAAAATGCGCAAAAACATCACCGTTCATGCTCGAAGAATGCGCCGCAACATTTTATAGACACGCGCACATTGTTTTCATATATTTTTAGCTAAAATAAAAATTTAGGGCATTTTTGCAAATAAAAGTGCGAAAAAACTTCTATTTAAAAAAAAGGGAAGTTGAATGCAATAAGTTGAAACATGAACGAGGCAGGTGCAAATATCAAGGTTTCAAAACAAAATCAAATACCTCAGTGTACAAGGACGCCGTCTGAACCTGTGACATCTTCTTTCTCGCTCTCTCTGCACAGGCAGACTACCGGCGTGAGTTCGTACATGCAAACGGCGATTTGCGAAAATGACGCCGTTAACATCCGCCGAGTTGAACTACCTCATTTTCCGTCACCTTAACGAATCCGGTATCCCTCTTTCTTTCTCTACATTTTGCATTCTATTTTACTGTTGGTATGAATTCTTTTGCAGAAGTTTTAATTTTGCGATTAGGATTTATGAACGAAACTTGAATTTCTAGGTTTAAATTTTAAAAGAGGGCTTTTTTATTTAATTGTACTTTTGGAGTTCTCATTTTAGATTATATCTGACTATTAATTCAATTTTAAGATCGTCTTTATGATTTTGGCAGTGAGTAGCGGAATTCATCTTCTCCAATTTCAATTAACATGTTTTATTTATTTATTTAAAAAAAATTGGTATTTTGATGATTTTTCTAGGAATTTTCTGCTTGATCATTTCTTCAATGCCAGAAGGTGGTGTGACACAGACACACAGTTATTGTTGCATTTAAAACCTTGAAATTTATGAACACTTATTTTTACTTAGCAATTTTAAGAGTCTGGTGAATGTTCTATCGGTTATCGTGTGCACTTTGAGAATCATTTTATTCCTTATGTGAGTGAGATTCAAATTAAATGGCCAATTAGTTTTTAGTTATTCTTGGATATGAGATTAATTAGCTGTAAAGATATCAGTTATTAGAGTTCTGTATTATGCAACCTATTTCGCGGGCCGACTAATCGATATTTTAATGCAATTATCTGAAAGATTTGAAAATTCATGCACGTGCCGACAAAACCTTTTTCGTGTTTGAATTCCCGGGCTATTTAATGCTGTAGAGTGCAGTAAAGTAAAATTCTATTTGTGTCGGTTTGTCGTAACGATGGGATAGAGTTCCTTTGTTATTGGTGTGGTGTGGTGTCTGTGCCCTTAATTTCTATAAATGGTTTTCAGGGTACACACATTCAGCTTTCGCTTTCGAATACGAGGCAGGAATTAGCGAAAGTGCCATTGATGGAAATGCTGTTCCCCCTGGTGCTCTTGTGACATTTATTCAGAAAGGAATTGAGTATCTTGGAAAAGAAACGAAGCCCAATAACGTAAGAATGTCACGAGTGAGATTGAGTTTTTTTTTCTCCTTTTTTGTGCATGTTTGAGAATTTTGTAGTGATGCGTAGTTGCCGAATCCCTCTAGGATATTCTGGATGCAAATGGAAACTTCCAGTTTCGGCATCCCATTGAACTTATACCAAAAGACGAAAATGAACTTCAAAAGATCATAAACGATAAAAAGGAAAGTATCCAGAAGGATAACTCTAAGGGAAAGGAGAAAGTAGATGCTGAAAATGGCGAGGGAAGCGACCACGGACTCGCAGCGGAAAGAGAAAACGAACCCTATGGAGAGACGAACGAGATAGAAAAGAAAACAGCAAATGGAAAAGAGAAGGAAATTCCATTTGACTACATAAGTGACGCTAATCATAACGAGGATGAGATTAACGGCAGACTTGAGGAGAATGAAGCTGATAGTGGTAAGGAGAAGTTCACTTACTTTCTATTTTAAAAATAATAGTGCATGTGTATCGTCTAAAGTTCGGTTATTGTTTTAATGCTCATTAGTCATTAATGGTGTTATAATAGGGCCACTGCCGATGGATATTTGCGCAAGTACAGCTTCATCTAGCAGTGCAATCCCGAACATTGATGTTACTGTGTTGCGAGGCCACACTTCCGAGGTTTGATGAATAATTGATAATTTTAACAACACGAATGTTAAGGTGTTAACTCTCTTGTTCTTCACAGGTTTTTACATGTGCATGGAACCCTGCTGGTTCGCTTCTCGCTTCTGGGTAAGCATACTCTCTAAACTTCTATTAATATATTCATTATAACCAACTCTGCAATTAACACTTTTAAGCTTTCTCTCTAGCAATATACGATGTACGTGACAGCAGTGCCAATGAACTTGTTCCTCTTTTTCTTCAGGGCCGGAGATTCTACTGCTCGAATTTGGACCATGGATAAGCCATCCGTCCCCAATATGCAAAATGGACCTTTAAGTGTCGTATTAAGGCATTTTATGGAAACACCAAACAGCGAAAGCAAAGATGTGACGACACTTGATTGGAATGTGAGGGCTCTTTCGTATTTTTATGTTGTTTTCATATCGTTTCTTTTTATGAATATCGAGTGTGATATTGAATCATTCAATGTGCTGTCTAATAAGATTTTACAAAACTCATTTTACCCCTCTTACTATAACATGCTTTCTTACATAGGCTGAAGGAACACTACTTGCTACAGGTTCGAACGATGGTCGAGTAAAGATGTGGAGTGAACGTGGTGAGAGATGTTTCTCATATGGTTGACCTAACACGAAGATTAGTCTAATATATTAAACTTTTGATATATACTTGAATGTTGTCTTTTATTACAGGGGATTTAATTACTAGTTTGAATGAGCATAATGGGCCGGTTTTCTCTTTAAAATGGAACAAGAAAGGGGATTTTCTTCTGAGTGGGAGTAGGGACAAAACTGTAATTGTATGGGATGTTAAGACGGCAGAACGTAAACAACACTTCAAGTTTCACTCAGGTGCTTTTAAACTGTCTTTTTCTTTACTGGATATACTTGATTTGTTCATTATATATATTAGCTAACTTTCTTATCTCCCAGCTACTGTCCTTGATGTTGATTGGAGAAGCAATTTCTCTTTCGCAACATGCTCGAGTGATAGCATGATATATGTTTGTAAAGTTGGAACGGACCGACCATTGAAAACTTTTGCAGGGCATCAGGTTTGTTTGAGCTACACGTTCGATCTTGACATAGCATAACTATTTTTCTTTTTTTATCTTGTTTGTGTACCTCTTATGGTAGTTTTTGATTTAGGTATTGCATTCTTGACATAGCAAATTCGTATTAATGCTTCTTCAGGGTGAAGTTAATGCTATAAAATGGGATCCCACTGGCACCCTTCTAGCCTCGTGCTCTGATGATTTTACGGCAAAGGTTAGAGGCGTCTTTTGTGTACATTGAGTTTTTTGTCGTTTTATTAACGTAATTGACGATTGACAATTTCACCTTCATCTTGTTTATATGTTGACTATGGTGCAGATATGGACCATGAAAGAGGACAACTGCTTGATTAACCTAAACGAACATACCAAAGTATGATCCTAATACTATATATGTCTATTGCTCGTACTTTTATTTGATAAGTCGGTAAATCATTGTTTTTTTGGAATGCATATTCTCTTTGTAGGAGATATACACTGTCAGATGGAGTCCAACAGGGACTGGGACCGATAACCCTAATCGTCAACTTGTTTTGGCAAGGTGATTTTTCTGCAATTTAAATAAATGACTAATTTTGTATCTTTGAATTAATTTTGGTTCACACTTTTATCGTGCTTTCTCGTTTTCCATTTCTCAGTGCTTCCTTCGATTCAACCATAAAACTGTGGGATGTGGAAGCTGGGCGTATTCTCGATACATTATATGGGCACAGGTATCGACAAGAAAGAAAACGGCTCACTGAACCATTAAAATTATCTTGTTTAAATTACAACAAGGATTTGGTAGATTTTCCTAAGTGTTATTTTTTTTTTTTGTTCTTAATTGTGGTTTTCCGACAAATGAAATACAGGGATGCGGTTTATTCTGTTGCGTTTAGTCCAAACGGGGAATATTTGGCTAGTGGATCACTGGATAAATGTGTGCACGTTTGGTCGGTGAAGGAAGCCAGAATCGTGAAAAGTTACCGGGGAGAAGATGGCATCTTTGAAGTTTGTTGGAACAATAAAGGCGACAAGATCGCTGCTTGTTTCGCAAACAATGTGGTTTGCGTCTTCGATTTTCATATGTAGGAGTTTAAGATTGGGAAATTCTTAGATATACAATACAATGGTGTCTGAAAAATAATCTTGATTTTTTTGGAGATACATACAATAGGGTTTTGTTGTTGTAGCTAGCTTAAATGTACACCTTTGTTATTGGCCCTCTGTTGTATACATAAGGTTTCAGTTTGAGAAAAAAAAAAAAGAAAAAAAGAAGTCTAGCTAATTTTGTAAGCTATATAGCCTATATTTATATTTTGTACTGAACTGTATTTACTATTTACTATTTACTATTTACGTAGTTTTGTAAAAGAAAAATAATTTTCTAATATACTAATTGGGTGTTTTTACTCTGGATATTATATTTATAGGGCAAATTACGGTCACTCCTGGTTTATGGTCAACTTACGAAAAACCCGGTTATGTTTGGGTGATTACAGTCACCCCCATCAACTATGTATTATCTTATGAAAATACACGTTTAGAAGTAAATTTAGGGATGTTAAATCAGTATAACCGAACCAAAATTCCGGTATGCCAATATTTCATATTGTTTACCGAATTGAATATATGATTTGATTCGGTAAATTATCGAATTACGTAAATTTTATGTAAAAATATTTAGAAGAAGGGAGTGGCTGTAACTACCCAAATAAGAGGGAGTTTTTCGGAATTTGGTCATACCTCAGGGGTGATCGTAATTTGCCCTGTATTTATATTACCTGAAGTGACATATAGCAAATATAATTGGAAGGTGATTTGAATTCTGGAGATATTTAGGTTGTGTTTGGTAAGCTTTTGGGCTTCCATTTCCATTTTATTTTGGGGAAAGATGTTTTGGGAGAAGAATTTGAAAATTAAATAAAGTTTGTTTGTGTTTTGGGAGGAGACAATTTGTACTGTAGCAAGTCAAATCATGTCTGAAAGGTGTTGGAAAAACGGTATTTTTGAAGAAGAATTTAAAAGATAAAGTGATTTGATTTTGTATTTTAGTGAAGACAATTTTCACCGTAGCGGTCAAATCATGTTTGTTAGAGAGAGAAATATTTGAATTTGTTTTGGGGAAAGTTTTTGAAAATAGCTGTAGAAGAGATAATTTTCGTTTTGGGGAA